CTTTTACCTGTGGCTTTGCTCGCATATTCCTGTTTTATCCCATGGGAACATTTAATCGGGACAAAAGTGTCCTTTCACCTAAGTCAGCCAATACCCTGCCTGTATACCAAATTTCATGAACATCCGTACAGTAGTTTCAGCGTGATTGAGGGATAAACATCCAAACATCCAATCAAATAAACTTTCATATTTATAAGTGTGATGAGAGTAGGTCAATCTTAGGTTTTACTGGAAAATCTTAGTAATTACCGTAGTTCGCTTTAACAGTAACATATTGATTTGTTAGAAGCCTACACAGATACTAATCAATCGTTTAATTTACTACATTCCTTTGGTTCTGACTAAGCCTATCTGACTTTGTTCATAATCAAGTTGCTAACTCAGCGGTTTTATAACTATTTAATTAAATGAATTGCGCTCCACCCCAATATGATGTTTCACGGTATAAAAATATACATTAATCGTCTCCTAAGAGGGTGGTGCCGCTTCGTAAGCAGAATTTATATCATCGCTAAACTGAGGACACAGATTTTTTAACTTTGCCTTTTTGAATTAATATCTTCGTTAGCAAAATTGTTGTTTTCTTAAATTTTTTGCTAGCAACGCGATTTTCACTTTTGACAAAAGTAATGTTATGCTATATTTGTGTTTTTTGATAATAGTCAACCGCTTGGCCACTATTTTACATCTATTTCAGTTTTAAAATACGTTAAACAGGTTCAGCGGTTTTGGTGTCAAAGCGTAACAAGTACACACATTCAGTATTGATATTAGTTATAATGTTTACCCCAGCATCAATCATATTATCAATATTTTCCCCGATAATTGTACGTTGACCGTCTATGATAATACAAAATAAATGGTTTATAAGTCAAGCAAACCAGTAGTGTTAGTTTTAAACAGAAACATCTAGTTGAAGTTTTTGCATCGATAAAAAAAAGAAAATATCTAAGTTTTCCACTTGTGAATATAGTAGGTACCAACAATGTGTTCTTTTCTTAACATTCTACACAAAGTACATTTAGTAATATAAAAAATATCTATACTTATGAAAATGAGTCCCCATATCCTTTGTTCACGCCATCACGCGTGGCTGGACTGATTTCACAATATTTTTCTATTGTATTTGTCAGGAGAAGTTTCTAATGACAGAAAAAGAGAAGCCTGTAAATCCTACGAGAACGGGAGGCAACGGGATTGCGCGTACAAAGTCGCAAAAGGAAATGACATATAAAAATAGATTATCAAAAAATATTTCCCTTCAAAGGCTTAAAGCAGTTATTAAAACCCCTGAAACGGTCTGTAGAACAGATTTTGATTCAAACGCGTTATTCAGCGAGCGCAGCAATATGAATCATGAACCGGAGCTACGAACAGTTTAATGGATGACCCAAGCTACTAGCATAATTTATTACGATATGAATAATCTGAAATGATTTACTGGTGTATCGTGTTCCGTTTAACTACATAGTTTATAGTGTAAAAGAACTAGTGTCTCTACACTTTATAACCTTGTGAGCGTAGTAAAATTTTATCGTTCGTAAGTTAATATATCGTTTTTATGTTATACAAAGTTAAAATATTCTTTCGTTAACATTGAATATGGCAAAAAAATTATCAAGTTTTTATTTTGAAGTGAATGATAGCGGAATTTTAAACAACTCTTTAGTTCTGTTTCTTCTCAGAATTGGCAAAAATAACTTATCTAAATTAAGTCACTACCAAATATTTTTTTTATGTTAAAACAGGAGAGGTTGACGAGCTATTTAAACTGTCAAACACCAAGCGGTCACCGGTGACCGCAACCTATTGTTCTTTAATTGTGTCTATAAATACGGTACTCGACGAGTTAAACAATAAGCTTTTCTAACTACTTTTCTACTGGATGTAGAAAGCAATAACAAAGCGATAACATATTTTACTCTACCAATACGCAATTTGCGTAAAATATCAGCGCTTTCACCCACTTGTAAAAATATTACCGCATCCACACTATATTGATTATGGGCTTGAGACCCATAGCTTTGGGTTCGGTGGACCGGGGAAACTTCATTTGCGAGCTCCTCTGTCCGTGAAATGAAGTCGGCTTGATTTAGCGATCATGTTATATCGATATCGAATGCTGTGGCGCATGTAACTGAAACGATTACCCGTCTTACACTTAGGTACATTTCCATCTTGGAAAATTATAAAAATAATAGGAGTAACAATTTTTAATACTGTTTTTATTATTTAGTAGTTGTTAACCGTAGCTTTAACTGCGTTAATGGATTCTAAAGTATACATAATAATATGCGAGCATTTCAATAAGATAACATAGTTGGTCAGATAAATCTTAAATACTTGCTTTTATAATAATAAGCAATAATGTTAGATGAGGTTTTTATACCTGACAGTTGAGAAAGAGTTTTCTTTTTCGATTCTTGGGGTAAGGTAAAAGTAGAGAGTTGAGAATTGATTCAGTAATTGGGTACATGCGAACTAGTCAAATTCAATACTTTTTTTCGAACTGTCAAAAACGAAAGTTTTCTATTAATTTATTACGAGATTTGTATTGTGACGACACGTTTTTTTAGCGTCAATCAATTAATGAAAGTATTTTTTAGTATTTTATTGTAATAAACAGTCAAAATAATTTATTTATGATTAAGGAAAGTACCCAATTGTACTTTATATTAATAATAAATTGGTATATGAAACACTTACAACCACGTATCTTAGTAATAGATTACAGTAATGATTAATAAACTAAATAAGACCATTCTGAATACTTGACTTTTCTTGGATATGCAGTTAAAATGGAGCTAACCAAAATATTGTCTGTAATTTGTATCGATATCGATTATTTACGAGTATATGTTATAGTCAGAATTCGGTAAGGCAAAGAAGATACTTCAGTAGGTATGTGATTTTTATGATATTATTTTATTTAGACTTAAAACTGCAACTTACTGCCACTTAATTTTAAAATAAGAATGAAATAGAAGTTACTTTAGTGAAGTAGCAAAATCTGATTATACATTCTGTGTTTTAATAGCTTTGGAATAGAAAATTAAAAATAGTGACAACAATATTTAGTCTATGACCTAAGTATCTAAATACTTATTAGTGTTCTTACAAAATGCACTTGCTAAACAAATATTTTAATTGGAATGTCTAAAATTATGAGTATGATATTAGCTAGTAACCTATTTGTTGTAAGGAATAAATTTTCTCTTTATTTTGAGTTAAATATATATTATATATGTATGACAAATTATCCATGGTTATTATTACTTAATAGCTCAACCCACCCTACAAATGACATTTAAAATAATAGTAAGTAATCCTATTAATCAATCTATTTTTGTATTGATTACATAAAGGATTGTAATTTCATGGTTTGGTACCTGGCTTGATTTTTCATAATTCTATCGAAGTTTGATACAGTACAGGATGTATAAAATTATTCTACTTGTGTTTATAAGTACTCAAATAATGCAACAAGCCTTCCTTATAACCATGACTTTTGAACTATTTTTCTAGAGATAGGGCAACTTAATTTCATTTGTTCTGTGTACCATGCTTGGAAATAATTAAGTATTTATTATTAAAGATATCGACCAATGACGTTACCAAATTAACTTAATGAGCGTGTAACATTTTATTTATTGCTGACGTAATTAAGATGAATGAAGGTTGTAAACTTAAATCACACAATGGAATAAATGTTAGGTCTAGCTTGTGAAAAAAATATTGATTTGTTGTAAAAAAGAAGTGTTGCAGTTATTTGTGGAGATTCTTCATGCCTTTGGGCGACTGGCTACCGAACTATGCACGGCTGCATGCTCAGTATAAAATTCCAAGTGTTGACGTGAATACTATATATTTTGAGACCTCCTGAAAATTTTCAGAAATCTGACAAGCTCCGCCCCTTTTACAGCACCGGCTGTGATTCGTCGGAGTTCAGCTACGTCCGTACACGTAGCGGCCAATGACGGCCGGGGCTACGCGCAGCCGTAGCGCTACAGCATAGAGGCGTGCGGGGAGCTACACGATCGACAGACGCTACAGCGGAGCTGCTACGCCAGGGAACTGAAAAATGTAAGTACTAATTATTGTATTTTTAAAGAATATTCTTTTACATCAAGTGCTGTATGTGTTGTATCCATATACCATTTTATGGATATCTTACAACTGCATACAAGTACATCTAGTTTGTACTAGGGTATATGTAGGTACGTGCGCATGTATAGGTAGGGCACCAGTAGGTACATACTTGCTGGTTATGTAACATGACAGTGATTGAATTAAATTGTTGTTATTAATTAACCATTCTCCAGTAGCATATCAGATTTCAATTTATGGCTGAGTGAAATGAATATTTCCCGATGTTTAAAAAATGAGGAAGTTTCTGACGACTTTCCTTGACCCATTCTTGTATTTTCAAATTGATATGCTGTGAAATACACAAACGGCAGAATAAAATGTTTTAGATTCAGAAATCAATCAATAAAACAAAGTAAATCAAAACCCCTAATTATCCCCACTTTTTCAGTATTTCACAAATAGTGATCGTCTAAAATTGTAATATCAAGCAAGAAACTAAACGTTTTACCTTTCACAGTCTCTTAAAGGTACTAGTAAGGTACTATAAAGGTACGTTACAGATCTGAGCATTACATCAGCGAAAGAGGAGAACGGAGCATTAAAATCCGCACCTTGTAATGATACAATGGATATCTTGATATATCTTGTAATATCAATGCTCAAAGTCGAATAAATATGTTACATTACACTCAAATGCTCGTTGTTACATTAGACGCAAATGCTCGTTAGTCAGGGAGGTATTATTGTAATGTAATGCCAAAGTCGAATCTATACTGTTACATTACACGTGAATGCTCCTGGTGAGGGAGCACCTTTAAATAATTGTTAAGCTGAGAGCTTGTACTAATAGTGGTATTGTTAACAGGTGTTAATGAAGAGTGTCATTTGATGTGGGACGTGGGACCGGCACCATGCAGGGGCTCCATGCCGCGAAGGAGAAGGCCTCGGGGCTCTTTGCCAACAAGCCCCTTCTGTTCAAGTAAGTACACATATTGCATCATCATCATTATTAGCTGCTGGACTAGTTTACAGTTTGTCTATTTATTAATGAAAATTCGTGATGAAAATTCATTTTTAGCCAATTATCCAAACAATATTCACTTAAATGCCAATCCTACCTTTAGCTACGTACCTTTTTAACAAAAAAAAAAGATTCGCTTACTTATTAGTTTACCATGTCGTTTATCATGTCGTGGTGGCCCGGCGGTTTAAGACGCCCACTTCTTATGCATGAGGGTGCGGGTTCGAAACCTACCAACGGCAAGTACCAATGTGACTTTTTCCGAGTTATATGTACTTTCTAAGATTATTTAGACACCATTGACAAACGGTGAAGGAAAACATCGTGAGGAAACCTGGACTTATAATTTCTAATTATAAGTTTGAAATCGCCAACCCGAATTGAGCAAGCGTGGTGATTAATGCTCTAACCTTCTCCGTGTGAGAAGAGGCTTTGCTCAGCAGTGGGCATTTATAGGCTGTTGATGATGATACTTTATTAGTTCCTAAAACATGCGTCGTCATTCTTAAATAGACAAACTATACTAGATTAAAGTGCTCTACAGTCCGTCAAACGATGTCAATTTCTTTTTGGACTGCATTACTTAACATGCTACAGCTGTTGACTACTTCGTCATACAAAAATGTAACGTCGATTACATAAGTTTAGATGAAAATAAAAAAAATACGCAATCGATTAAAAGTTGATCATGGATTTAAGAAGAAATCAAAACTTAATGATGTTTTCGAACTACGATTTAAATGAAACCAATATCAATGAACTGAAATCGTTATCATCAGACTTCGCTCGGAATAATTTTTTCTCTTGTTTTTGTAATAAACTCATTCATCATTGAGTTAACTAAGGCTTAGTTACACCACAGAAGGTAATTATAGTATAAGTTAGTGTTACATTTACCAGTAACTGTAACGCTGACTTTAACAGTTACAGCAAAATGTGATGCACCAGAAAATTCAGTAGCTTTGTTAAAGTCAAAAGAATTGCAAGTCAAATGAGGCGTGAATTTCCCCAAATTTGACGTGGGTAATATTTTTAACAAAATAAGACTAAGATGATTGTAAGAAGATATTTTTTTGAAATTATAATAAAACATTTGATGAATAAAGATTATTAAAAAAAGATGTTTTTGGCATGTCATCATTGTCACTTGGATTGTAGCAGAGGAGCTGCCATGATTTTTTAGGACCTATGCTACTAATAAATTATGTACTGTAACTATACTATCACTATAATTATGAACATTCGCATTCGGATTTAAAAAATATTTGCATATTTTTGACATTGACATTCGCATTCGCGAATATCTAAAACATGATATACGTTATACGTTACTAATACCTATGTAGTTTAAGAATAAAGTCCGACAGTCAGTAAATTAAGTCACGGTCACCGAGCGCCCATTGCAGTCAGTGTATAAGTACATAAAGTCAAATTACTTTTGGCGACTTTCATGTGCTGTACTGTCACCGTGCACACTGCTCATAATTAACCTCCCCTACTATTTATTGAATTTGATATGTTATTGGGTTTCGGCACCTATACTTTTTTCTATTTATACATGCAAGATAATTTTTTTCGTCTTCAGAACTGGTTTTTGCGAGTATCTCTTGTAACAGGGACATGCTGTTCAGATTTGCTGAGATAAAATATCTAAAACTTTGAAAGCAAATTACAAATTTTCTATTGTTATATAAGAGTTTTGCAAAGAAGAAATGTTTTATGAGCATTTAATTTTTTTTTTTTGGCAAAAATTTCAAATATAAATAAGTCGTTTTATTCTGGCATCTTTCCAACTAAATTGAGGTCAATCTTAAGTGTACCTAGTATCAGCATTTTTCTATTACGTCCTTCTATCAGTGGAATGTAATCCTACGCAACACTTTCCCGTTTGAGAAATATTTTCACAATTCTATACGTAGGTAGTCGTTTCTAAGATCTTTTTCGACCTTCTCCGAATACACCGAAACTTCAACAATGTTTAGAAAATCATTTTAGTGACTTACATCACTAATAATTTTCTAGACCGCGTTAGATTGTCTAACAAAATAAAGTTGTAGCTTAGAATGGAACAATACTCACAATGTTAGGAAATGAAGAAATATGACTGCCACGTTTAATAGAGAAAATTCATCACAAAGTATACATATTTTAACACAACTAGTTTAAAATAAAACTATCACACGTAATCTAATGTAAGAAAAACCTATAAGGACTTCGAATAAAGTAAAAAAGGAGATTGTTTTACTAAATCTCAAGACGAAACTGGAAAATGTCGATGAAAACGGAGTATAAACAAAAAGAAACAATCGTCGATTGGGCAACGCGCCGGGAATCGAAGCAATTTTGTTGGAAGCCATGAGACGACCGCCGATAATATTGACAGCCGGATAATACTTGTTGCAAAAAATGAAATATAAGGGCGGAGAAATCTCCGACTATTCTCTTTAACAAGGATTTTGAACGTAGGGTCGCGTTTGTAGAACTATTGTGGGAAAAATGAGAGAGTTTTGTTGCGACACAGAAACTGTTAAGTTAACTGTTAATATATTGCCAAAATCATCACAATTAAAGAAATCGAATAAATCTAAAGAAGTAAAAACACTATCTACATAACCTAGGTATATCTTGATTAGGTTTGGAAGAGCTTAATTATTCTAAGCTAGTGGATACTAAAGAACTAAAAGTTCTATTGACAATGTACCATTCTAATTTTATTTTACTTTAAAATGAACCATTATAAAACCAAAATCTCGGTAATTTCGGAAATATTATAATGAAATAATAAACTCAATCTCTAACTAAGTATATACGTACAAACTTCCCTCTACACAGATCATAATACCAAATGGTCCGGATTCGATAAATAATGCGATTATTGCGTTAGCTGGTGGCAACCCTAGAGGTACAGTTGAGTGCTCAGCGCTGATAACAAACAGACATCATCCGGATTTGTGTCGTCATGCGAACGCTCCGTTCCCGATGCAAGGAACCAAGTACCCACGAACACATAAGCACATCGTAACGGCGATTTGTTGACAAATCTCCTCAATATACACGTGTATTAAAATTAATTTACGTTCTGAGACGTTTTGTGGAGAAAATCATGAGGCTGAGTTTGTGGTTAGGAATTGACATAAAATTTTCCTTGTCATCATTCGATATTGAGGAGATTAGGTACATTAAATCATGTTACTATTACAATTTCGGTAAGGAAACTTAAATATTTCTTTAGAAAAAAAAACATATTTCGTATAAGGACTTGATAAATGACCACCCGCTTTAAACACAATCATCACACATCTGCGTGAGGTATCCCTAAGGTTTTAAGCCCATAAATTGCATCGCGAGCTACAGACAGAGAGGAAGGGTAGCCGGTTCATTATTTAGTCCGTTTAAATCACTAAGTCCTTAAAAGACATTAGCAGGCTTTGTAGCGTTATCGCAGAACACAAAAGAGATTTAGAGGAAGCTGACAAGGGGAGGCACCCGTCACTTTTTATTCAATAACATTTACGTATATTGTACCGGGTACTGCTTGATTGTACGAGTACCTTTTAATGGCAGGATTAACATTTTAATTGGACGCTTCACGTTTTATGACAGTCTTTAGTAGAAGCTTAAAGACAATCATTAGTAGTGAGACTTAGTTTGATGAAGTCTGTTCTGAAGCGGAAAATTTGGTTTGGCAAATGCTTACAAAGCATTGTTGTCATTAAAACTTATCTTTCTGGTTTTAGCATATTCAACACTATTGAATAAGATGTGAAATCAAAATTTTTCGTATTCATTTTTAGTTTAATTTATTTTGAGCAACAACTTCGCAAAGTGACTCTATCAGCTTTACATAATTTGTTATACGTTAAAATAAATGCAACTAAATTGTTTTTGCAACCAGTACGCGACATTAAAAGGTCTAGACCACTAAATACGTGTACAGCACTTACGCTAATTGTTTCCGCCATTTGAATATTGCGCGCGACAATTACTCGATTGGTCGCCAGAGGCCGCTGCTGCAGAATGGACCCCAAATTAATTGCTCTCTGCTCACTTTGTTTTATTTTGATAAAGACAAAAATGACAATGCAATTTGAGTAAAATATGAGGGGACAAAAACCATTAATGTTGACATTGTAAATAACTTATTGATTTTTATGACATAAATTCAACGTATATGTTTTTGTTAGAAGATCTCTTGATTTAATAATTTTTACCGAGAGAAAAGAAGAAATTATACCCAATTTCTGCCACTATCTTGTCATGGCCGAACAAACAAGAGCTCAATGATTTGCAATAAATAGACCGAGAATGTTGGTAGAATGTATTTTGATAGATTTTCTTTCAAGTCCTTGTAATAAGACCTTACTTTACAGTTAATGATACAATATCATGTAGCTCTTAAAAAGGCGTTATATTCTACTTACATCTCTGTCCATTTTCAGGTGTATATAACGCATGACTTTATTATAAAATACACTCCACTTATAAAACACAGTCCACGATGCTCAAAAAATGAGTGATACAGGAAAATTTAACCCGGAAATGTAATTTCCTCAATACTCACGTTTCCTTACATTTATCGAGGATGGCTACAGACTATAAAACATCACACTACGAACAATAGGAGCTGAGCAAAGCGTGTGAAACCGCGCGGATATAGCTAGTTATTTATACGCTCAAAAATTGCATGTAAGATATTACACAGACAAAAGATTTTCTCTGTGATCGGTTTCCGTATATCTGTTCAGTTATAGAGAGAGAATAATTACTTAAGTTTGTAAAAGACTTGAATGGAAGAAAAGCGGATTACAAAAATAATAAGTAACTCTATGGAAAATATTTTAACAAAATAACAAAGCAAAATTTTCTGCCATACCCAATTAAAAGTCTTGTTCAATGTACAGAGAGCGACACATTGAAAGGTACGCAATGCCTGATTGTGTTACAAACAAGATAAACTT